GCGTCAGTGCACGCCCAGGAACCGAACCCGGGCCGCCAGTAGCGGAGCGCGCGCACTTAACCGCTAAGCCACGGGCCGGCCCCCAAAAGGGCATTTTTAAAAACTGTCTTTTTTCAGAAACATTGTGATGCGATATTAGGATGTATAAATGAGAAATCTAGAGAAAAGAGGAAAAAATTCAATACAGATAAGTCAAGATAAGGCATAAAAAAAGAAAATTTTCAATAAGATGAAGATTCTCTTTCTGGGCTCTGGAACAACACGTGCCTGACTCAGGGACTCACAGAGTGACAGAGAGAAATGCCCTTGGGCTGAAGCACTTATATATTAGGTTAAAGAGAGCTGCAAGGCCCCAGCACCCCCAAATTTCTCAATTACTCTATCCTCTTATTTACTCTGGAACACACTGCTTAGGGTTAGATAAGAAGGGGTGAGTTCTCTTTTCAGAAGGCTTCTCTGAAAAAAGTCATAGGTTGAAAACAACTTGGAAGGCCATTTCACTCTCTGTGAGAATGTTTCTGTGTTTTAACATATGGAAAGGCACTTTGAAAATCATAGAGTCAAATGTCCCCCGGGTGGGGATGCAGGACCCTGCAGTTTAATGCAGCCGGGGAGCTGCACACGCAGGCACAACCCTGGGAAGCAGAAGAGGCATTAAATGAGGACATCCCAGAGCCAGAACTGGAGAGGGGCAAGAGCGAGGAGTGCGTGCGTGTGAGTGAGCGGCAGGTCAGGACCAATTCTGCCTGCCTCCTAACCGGTCAGAGGGCAGATCTTGGTGGCACACTCTCCCTCAATTGCCCAACACTCAACAAAATACCAAGTTCTATTCATTTTACCTCTCCAAGTGTTTCTTTTCTCCATCTCACCGCCATTATTATTTCTTGCTTAGATGTCTGCACTATAGCTTTTTAAAATTATGAAATGTTTCAGGTATAAAAAAAGAACAGATGACTCTTTAATAAGCACCTGACTACCCACCTCTAGCTTAAGACTGCAAAGAGTTTTAAGTGGTTTGTCTGTATTCACTTTTGCTTCCTGTAATCGATTCTCTACAAACAAAATGGTTTTGCAGACCATAAGTCAGACCATTTTGGGGGTGCATGCGTTTGGAGGGGTAGGTGGTTGGGTAAAGCATCCTTCCTGGTGTGGAAGGATCTTCACTACTACACACTCTAAGCCTCCTGCCCATGCTCCCCCTCACTCCTCCTGGGGAAGCTGGTGACCTTGCAAGAAGAAAGAAGATATGTACTCCAACCTCTTTGGGGTCCTCTCTTTGGAAATTATTTGCCTACGAAGAGCAGAGGTTCTTATCTGTTCCCTCAACCTTGCAGAAATGTTTGTGGGTTGGGCCTGCCTTGTGGAAAGAAGCTGGTGATCGTCCAGTGGGACAGAGGAGCATGAGCCTGACTCACTCAGGAGAGGGATGCTGTTAGCAAGGCCACATGGCCCAGGTCTAAAGCCATCTGCTCCACTGAGCTTTCACCAGGAAGAAACTGCTGACATTCTGCACTCTTTTTTCTTTCTCCAAACTCCACTGGAGATGGTGGTTTTATTTACTGACCCGCTCAAACACCAACCGAGATCATGTAACTCCTCTGCTTAGAAACCTGCCATGACCGTTTATTACATTTAGAATAAAATCCAAAGTCCTCATCCAAGTCTCCCCAGCCTCAGGAATCGCCCTCCTCTACCTCTTCATTTCTGCTCTCCTGGAGCTCTTCACTGATCCCAGCTCCCCCGAGTTGGGGCCTCCATACAGGCTGTTCCCTCATCCCTGAATAATGGCCTTGACCCCCTACTCCCACATTGCTTGGCTAACTCCCACTCATTTTTCAGTTGTCAGCTTAAACATCAGCTCTTCACAAAGCCCTCCCTGACTTCCGAGCTAGACTGGGTCCCTTTTATATGTTCTAACAGCACCCATTTCTTTTTCTTTACTGCACTGCACACATTGCACTGCAGACTGATATCATCATGCTTTCTTGATTCTATGACACATCTTTTCACACTGTAGTATTTTGAGAATTGGGATGAATATTTCAATATATTACAATGTTTGGTGCATTTATGATACAAAGTTTCCTTTTTCCTCTCCCAAAAGCCGTACTATAATTGATGGTGCATCTCAAAACTGATGCTGACTTCCTGACCCTGTGGTCAAGCTTACTGTTACAAAAACAGACAACCAGATGCTATGCTCCTCCTGTGGGATACACAGCACCACCTATGAAGTAGTCCCACCCTAGAAACTGAACTGGAATCTGGAATCCGATCCAGCCTCCACGTCTAACTTCCAGTTTATAGGAAATACAGGGGCACAGAGAGATATGCTAAATGATACCCTGCAAATGCAAGCCGCAAAATCCAGACGTGAGAACTCTATAGAATAAACACTATGGTTTCTTTGACAAATAAATTTCTAGGTAAAAAAAGGTAGACAGGGACTACAGATTAAGAGAGATTTAAGAGCTACACAAAATGCAATGTGTGGACCTTGTCTGGATCCTATTTTGAACAAATCAACTGTAAAATACCTTTATGAGGTGATTGGGGAAATGTGAACACTGACTGCATACTGCTAACTGTTGAGCAACTGAAAATGACATTGTGGTTATGTTAAAAAAAACAGTCCATATATTTTAGATAAAATATCTGAGAACCGTTTCAAAATAATGCAAGAGGTAGGGGGTAAAAATGGCACAAGACTGGGCATGTGTCAATAACACTTAAAAAGAATTGTTGAAGTTGTCTTTTTTTTTTTTTAAAGGATAATTTTATTCTACTCTTTTTTTTCTCTCCCCAAAGCCCCAGTAGATAGTTGTACGTCATAGTTGCACATCCTTCTAGCTGCTGTATGTGGGACGCGGCCTCAGCATGGCCAGAGAAGCAGTGCGGTGCGTCGGCGCGCACCTGGGATCTGAATCCAGGGCCGCCAGCAGCAGAAGGCACGCATCCAACCGCTAAGCCACGGGGCCGGCCCCTGAAGTTGTCTTGAGTGCAAGAAAAAGAGCCAACAATGATTTGTTTCACTTGTCTTCTTGTAGACTCTAAGCTCCAAGGGGACAGGGAGCGAGCCTACCCTCTTCCCCACTACCACCAGCACAGGCTCTAGCACACTGGAAAAGCTCCGTGAGCATTTACGACTGAAGACTGCTGCGTCAGACAACCGCATTTACAGATCAGGTGTGCTCTGAAAGCTTGTCTGAAGCTTAGAACATATACTGTTGAATAGAATCAATATTCAGAAAAGTAGAAACTTTTCAGTTACACAAAAAACTGCCTCTAATAGGATTTCAATGACCCCTGATACCAAGTTATAATATTAATTCTAAGGGGAAAGGGAGTCTGAGTTTCAACGTGCGACACCAGACATGGACCAGAGTCTATCAAGATTAGGAAGAAATGGGGAGAACAGATGACCCTGGGAACCCGTTGTTTTCCATAAAGGTCCTTCTCCTTACCACAGACTCTATCAAAGGGCTGGTATTTCTCTAGAGCCATCAATGAAAAGGTCCTCAGAACTGTGAAAGATTACTTTAAGGAAGTGTACAAGGGATGGGGCAGAGATGGAGAAGACTAAGGCTGTGGTAGTACCAGCTGGAACTCCAGAAACCAAAAACAGCCTCAGGCTGTGCTTTGCATGGCAAGAAAGAATTAGCCAATACTTGAAAATTAGATTTTAAAAGCCAGTTTCAGCTCTTTGGGGCTTTAACTGCAACCTTCGGATGTCTCTGTGAGGTCAAATTCCTAATGAAGCTAGACGTCAAGAGCATTATTAGATCCAACCTTCTCCCACCGGCTGTGAGAACAGGACCGAGATGCACCAGCAAATCCACCCACAAGTCAGTTTACTTCATAATATGACCAATTTTGCTTAAAAACTCCCCGAAAATTGTGGGGGAAAATATCATACCTGGGATATCTTTCTCCTAATCTCCAGCTCATAAGGCTCCTGTGAGCATCAAAGCACGTGTTATTATTCTAACTGTATACCCGAGGCACAGGCCAAAGGAAAAGTAGAGGTTTTGGAGTCAGAGGGATCTTACCAGTTTGTGCTTTGAGCGAGATACTTATGCATTTCAGGCCTCTTTTTCCCCCTTGGTAAGGTGGGGATATTAACGCCTAGCATGCACGCATGAGGCGTACATAGACTCCATATAAAGCACCCAGCACAGTGCCTGGCAGATAGACAACCCACAGTCAGTAACGGCCACCATCCTCCCCACAACTGTCATAATCATCATGGTCATCGTTAGAAGCTGTAAGTCACCTTGTACCATTCTCTTCCTTAGAGCAGGAAACCCCAAAACTGACTTTTCTCCCTGAGACTTGTAAATAATTTTCGGCATTCTTATTTTTGCCTTTAGCATGTTCTGTACAAAAGTGACAGATAAAATCTGGAAACAGCACTCCCAGCAGGTCTGACTCATCTCCACTACAGTAGAATGACCACTTCTCAGGCCTCTGATTCAGTCCCTTTGTCTTCTTTCTTGCTGGCTACACAAGGGACCATCTATGGCCCAAATGCCTATTCTCCTTTTCTGAGCATCACTAGGTTTTTCTCCAATCTATAGCACACGGTAGGCACTTAAAAAAAAAAAAAAAAAAGGGAAAGGAGTAGCATTACAGTATAAAATAGCATCTTCACTAAAAGTAAAAGCACAGAGTAATTTTAGCCAAGAATAAAATTATTTTTTTTGGTTTAATAAAAATAATGAAAGAAATGGCCTAAATCATTGCCCTTCAAGGCAAGCAGGGGGAAGGATCACGGCACCAGGACTGGAGTTAGGGAGCAGAGGTGCTGAGGGTGACAATGACGAAGCAGAAATGGGCGCCACCACTGAAGACTTGGTGTGTGCCAGGCACCATGCTAGGCCTCGTAGATAGTGTTACTTCGTTTAGTTCACAATAAACTCCCCAAAATAAGGATTATTATTTTACTTTATGAAGAAGAGAACAGGCTAACAAGTATGTTGCCCAAAGTCCCACAGCTAACAAGTGACAGAGGCAGAATTTACGTTCAAGGCTGTCTGATGATAATATTCACATTCTTCCTATCGTCCCCTTTTGCTCCGAGAGAGGATTTCACTTCACTGGACTGTATCATTCATGGAACCCACACACCTCACCAACCTGCCCAGAGACCCGGCTTTTAGATATCTACATGGGAAACATGGAGAAGGGACAATTTAGAATGTGAAATCAACCACCTCCTACACCTAAGAGTCGACCAATTTCTCTAAGAGACCACTGGCAAGTACGTACCATGACATCTGCTTCCCTTGTGGCATATCGAAGATTTGGATCTAGCCAGTACATTATGGACTTAACCTGCTCGAAGTTCAGGAAGAGGAGGAACACCAGGAACAGGAAGTACAGCACACTGAGTCCTGAGGAGACAAAAACACCCTCGTGTTTAGGAGACCTCCGGGTGTCAGACACACAACACACGTTAGACCCAATAGCTGATGGCCCAAAGCAGACACTGCAGCCTGTCGCGGCCCCATTACAATCTGGTGTTTCCTGTGATGAGAGTCTGACGCACAGTTCTTACTCAGATTGAGAGCGGTCAGTAATCCTCTCTGAGAAAATGATGCTTAAGCTGAGAGTTGAAGGACTGGCAGACAAAGGGGGGGTGGGTGGGAGTGGAGGGGTGGATGCAACACTCAGGCAGGGAAAAGGTGTGCAGGCAGGGCCCTGAAAGAGAAATGTGCTGGGGCCGCATGTGGCTGGGGAGCGGGCAGAAGGGGAAGGGAGCGAGGCGGCACTGGAGTGACAGTCAGGACTGGGGGCCACAGCAAGGATTTCAGATCTTGTCCTAAGTGAAAGGAGGAGCACTCGACGAGCTTTAAGTGGGGAGATAAGGTGATCTAGGTAACATGTCACGAAGTCACTCTGGCCACAGCGTGGAGAGCAAATGAGGTGGGCAAGGCGATGTGGACAGCCAATCTGGGGCAACTTCAGTAGGGACGAGTGTGAGGTGCGAGAGGAGGCCCAGGGCCACTTATCCGCGTTTTCCACCCATGTTAGCGCTTGCAGGCATGATGTTATTGTCACGTCATATCATAATTGGTATCCTAATAATCACCTCATGTCATTTAAGAAAGAAAGTTAATAATCTACTTAAAGAAGGCAAAAGCCTGCAAATACATTTTAGAAAGATTTGATGGTGGTTTAGAACTAACCACCAGAGGCTTTGTCACTTCTCCTGTCGAACCTGCTAGAATTAAAATGTTTGTGTAGGACATCTAGACACTGTGATACAAATGACCTTGGACCACAGCACCCATCCAAACTTGGCTCAGCACTCATCTCCCACAAGCCACTCCAGAAAGAATGTCCGTGGCTGGAAGGAAATCCCCCGTGGCGGCTACAACACAGGCCTTCCAGCGGGACCACTCCCGCTCCTCAGGGAGCTCAGGGGAGCTGGAGAGTAGCATGGCCAACCCAGCCCTGCACCCCAGGGCCCAGGGAACACTCATTCTTAGGCACACAGGTATGAGAACCTCGTTAGGTTTGCACTTATACACCTATTTTTATAAATTTTCATTTCAAATGGCCCCCACTACATCTTTTTATTATAATCTTTTCAAAAGAATTATTTTAAGACAGAAAAAAAGTGTCTTTGGAGCAAGGGTTCTTAAACTGGAGTTCATGGTTGGGCTTCATGGTCTATGATGCCCCGGATATAATATGCAGAATTCTGCGTGCACGAGTGTGCGTGCGTGTCTGTGTGTGTGTATTGGGAAAGGGTTATAGTTATCATCAGATTATCAAAGGGCTCCATGATCCAAAAAGATCTCAGGTAAGAAATGACTGCTCATTACCTATAATGCACCACATGAAATAGGGAAAACTCAGATGTAGCCAACTAGCTGAAAATAACGTCACCTCAAGCAGCAGTATGGAGTCCATGTGATGTAAGTATGATGCAACCAGGATTATCTTTTTAAAAGTGTAAGTGAATCATGTCAGTTCTCTGCAAAAAAAATCCTCCCGTGACTTCCCACTGCTCTTCGCTCCACGATCCTTACTGGCCTGGCCCGCCAGCCCTGCAGGGTTCTGTCTGGGCCCAACTTGGACCTCTCTTGTTACTCCCCAGGGCCTGCTACACTCCAGCCATACTGGCCTGGAAGACACCAAGTTTCTTCTGGCTGGGGACCATCTTCCAGCCTTTCCTTTGCCTGGCCTCCCTCCCCCATCTTGGCTTAGATCCTTCTTGCAGGTGGGTGTCCACATAAGCGTCCTGCCTTCACGTCTCCTCTCATAAGCAAGAGAAGGCAGCCACTCAGTCATCATCACCTCACAGGGTTTTAATAAACTTCCTAACACTTGGCAACACCTGATATTTTTTGATTATCGATTTGTGTAATAGTTTGCTATATCTGTCCTCCCTCCCCGGGGGCTCCTCCCCTGACTACAAGGGGTGCTGGGGGGAACCTCTCATCTGTGTGGCCATGCCCTACAGCCTCAGGGCCAGACAGGCCTGCCACACAGAGGCAGTCCGTGAATACCTGCTGAGCGAGTCACAAAGAGTCACCACTAAGGTCACCATGTAGGTCAAAGAGACCTATGAGCTCTGAAGGCTGAAAGAAAAATATGCAACCTGGGGCAAAATATCCATTTTTAGGGTCCTTTTGCATAAGATTACATTTTCTGAACCTAAAATAATTTATTTGATGTCTTATTTAGGCAAGATGAAGCCAATACCCAAAGTTTTGAAGATCTGTTTTAAGTCCATTCAGGTGATTTGATTATTTGGCCTAGAAATCAAGTAAAAAGTAACACATCTGATATTTATATTAGATGCTTGTCACTAAACCTTAGTTCAAATCAGGGCTCTTTGTCTAAAGACTTCTCTCTTTCTCAAGATCTTTCCCATTCATAGCCTTGAGGAGACGGCTGGGTTTTCAGTCCCTCTCGGATGCTGACAAGACAAACGAGCTTATAGGACACACTTGAGCTTGTACTAGCGAACAGCAACATCAAGATGCAGAAAGAAAAACAAGCCGCATTCCCTTATGTCAAATCCTATGTACAGTAAGAGACAACAGCATAAGAAGGGGGCGAGTGGAGTCGAAACAGTCCACATGTACAGGAATTTAAGCTATCACCAGTACTTTTATTTGTGGCAAAGAATTTTAATAAAAAATTTATATTAGCAACACCAAAAAGTAAAAAGCTATAAAGCTTTACTGTAGAGTGGTAAGTAAAACTGCTATAATGATATACAGAAAAGGATTTTTTAAAGTACAACATATTTTTAAATC